ATTTATTTATTTCAACAGGAAGAACCAAAGGAGGAGAGTGATGATGATATGGGATTCAGTTTGTTTGATTAGGAGGAGGTGCCTTAAGTGTTAACATTTTGTGATCTGATTTTTTGCACATTTTAGGTGGTGGACCAATTTGAGTTATAATTAACTGTTCTATAACAAAGCTTTTTTCTAGTTTTTGTGGGGTTCCTGTGATTGTACCTGGATGTTCACATGCAGGAATTCAATTCGAGTACTTTTGATGCGTTATCCACATCTGTACATAACGTTATATGTTATGTATGCTGGAACTTTGATCAATTTACCTTTATCTGGTGCCGTTGGCATCTTCATTCATCAACCATAGTGTGGTGTACAAACGTGTATTCACCACTTATACTCCATATATCATATATTGTTTAACCCAAAGGAGATTATATGTTGCTTGAACACCACCCGATGTTTGACTTCTTCTCCTGGCATATCTTTTGTTCGATACATAGCAATTTTGCTGATTTTCGAGATAGATTCTTATTTTTACTTATGGATCAGGCAAAACAGTGCATGTCTTAACTGCTGTGAATGCCAAAGGATCGAAGCCCACTCGTTTTTTATTTTGGGTTTTGGAATTTCATGCACTTATGTTATTTTTGTGATTTTGACCGGCTTATTTTCTGCCAGCTCGTTTTCAATGCTTTGTTCGGATGGAAGCTTTGAATCTGGGGACATTGAACTCAGAAATAGCAGATCAATTGTATGGATATAAATGGATCTCAACTAATTGTGAGGATTTCAATTTCAATTAAAAAAAAAAAAAAAAAAAGATCAACTGAATGTCCAGGTTTGAGCTGGTATTGTGTATGCTGTTTTGTTCAAACAGATTGTCCGGCCAAATCTCCTATGTTCCAATTCAATTTATTGGGAAATGTTCATATCCCGTTATGGAACTATTCTGTTAGGGTTTGTAACCGTTAAATCATCATGTAACCCTCATAAATAGTTGATTTAACGGTTACAAATCCCGACGGAATGGTTCCGTAACAGAAGCATAACATCTTCCCAATTTATTACCATGAATTATATATCCTATTTCAAAGTAACAACAATTAACCTAAGTTTGTCCAAAGCATTTGTACATACTTGTGGAGCTTACACGAGGTAAGTATTTGCTACCTCGCACTATCCATATAATTCAAGCATATACAAATCTTTTATAGGCCAACTTAGTGGAATGTGTTCAATCAACAATTATTGAGGTTCTTTAAAAAGAAATATATTATCTATGAACTCATTCCGTGAAGCAGGACCGGATAAGATTGAAATTAAGGTCAAACAAGACTGTCCATAATGGACACTGGAAGACCACTACAAATGTCATTTTTATAATCGTTTGACCTGACTTTTTCTGCAAATATTCAACGAAAAATAATTCAAACACGGAGAACACGAATCAGTCTTTTTGAGGCACACTCGTTTGTTTAGGGATAAGTTCCACGCTGGACAAGACATGAAGGACACGCAATCAAAATATCCACCCACATTCACAATAATAATAATAATAATAATCCTAAATTCATTAGAAAAATAAAATTATTTCTCAATTGATATATTTATGTTTAATGAAATCATATGTTGTAAGTTAAAAAAATTAT